TGTGATAAATTAATATTTCTATACGGAGGAAATAAGGCATTTTTCTTTTTTATGAAAATAATGCTTTATTCATTTTTATTACTGAAAGATTACGCTGAAAAAAAATAAAATGAGAAATTCGATAACCAAACTCTTATTATGTTTTCTTGCCATTTTACAGTGTTATCTAGCCAATAGTTTGTCCTGCTCTGTGTAATGTGTAAAGAGTAAAATGATTCGAGTTGTAAGATAATCAAATCACTTTAGTGACCAAAGTGAATATATTCTTATCCGAGAATTTTAGCGTAAGAGGCAACTTTATAAACTGTGATTGTATTGATCTTGTTTGGGTACAGGGCAATGTATCTACAACCATTTTTAGTTTTAACTTTGTTTTTGTATCACAAAGATTGTTGCGCATATTGCAAAATACTTAAGTATACTTTGAGTACAAGCTGTACTCACGTCAGAAATATGCAGAAAAAACTATATATCTTCCCCGACAATTAAAGATATAGCTAATAAAGATATAGCTAATAATATCACAAAACGATATTAATAGTGATATATTATATAAATTGTTATTCTATTTCAGTACAATAAAACGTGAATTATGTTTGTTTACAAAAACTGGTGTTTTAATACTACATAGTATATTCTCTGCAATAAATTGTATGTGCTGTCAGAGACATGTTGCCTTGAGATCTTGACAACAAGTTACATAATTTAAGAGATAATTAAATTATTTTATGACGTGTTACTATATTAATGATTAATTATTTAGTAGATATAAAACTGTTATGTAAAATTTATCACACATCTGAAAGCAGTTTGTGCTGTTTCGTATATAATTAAGTGTAAACGATTACAAACATTACATTTTGATTATCCTTCTAATTTTAATTTGAATACGACATATGTTTGTGTTATTTATATAAAATCGTTCGGGAACAACAACACTATTTTCGAATTGATTTACATTTTATCATGATAAAATAGTACCCAAAAATTCTCATTGATAATGTATCAAAATGAAGAAAAATATTTTAAATAAGAAATACATGAATACATTTTAAAGTATTTACTTCAAAAGCCTCCAGTGTATGAGTGAGTAACTAAGAGAAAAGATAAAGTTGAACATTTAATTACAAACATTATTTAGGAAATATTTAACAATGATAAATTTATATTTTTGATCATAGTGCGCATGAAGTCAGGCAGGTAAGGTGGTTTGACCCCTGTTATTGCTTTGAAATTTGTAACAACAGAGGTAAGCCAAACCCATCTTTCCTGTTTCGGCGCCATATAACCTAAACTGTGTTGGTGCACCGTTAAAACAAACATACAACCATATTACTAGTACCTGTTTTCACTATTACGCACAACTGAAAATCTACATAGTTTTAGTTTGGTGTAATGGAACATTACTTTTGAAGTGTGGGTGGAAATATCGTGCCAAATTTTAAATGATCATACCAGGTGACACACATATCTTCGTGAGCGATTCATATCATGTTTAATACCAAAATGTTCAAGACAATTAAGAAGAAAATAGGTTTGAAAATTCTTTTCCTTGTATTAAATAACATTTTAAGTACTTGCAAATATTCTAAAAACCGGGCATTAATACAGCTACATTCTCTGCTAGATATACATGTTAATTTATACGTTAACGATTGATTTATTGATGTTTGTTTGGTTTGGTTATACGGCGCATCAACACAATTTTCATATGGCGCCAAAAACAGGAAAGATGATTTTGGCTAACCTTGGGTGTTACAAACTTAAAGCAACACCAGAGGTCAAAACCACCTCACCTGCTTGAGCTAAGAGATGCATAGACTCCAGTAATTCGAACCCCATTAAGTCGTTGCCTCTTACGATCACGCAGTGATAACCGCTGGCTCTGTAATTCTGATGCATCAACCCTTAAAGGCAACCCCTTAGTCACAATGGAGGTTTAATTGATGTAACATGTGTGATATAAATAATAGAAATGGTCTCTAGTCCTATGACTTATTTTGATTCTTAAAATATTTATTAAAACAAAAGTTCATATGACTCTGAATATAATTAATAAAACAAACTTACTGACCTAAACTATGTGACTGAATAAAGTTTATTTCCATGTCTTATTTGACCCCTTTTTAATCTTTTTTTTCCGATAATAATAGCTGTTAACGTATCACCTAATGAGCTTTGAAGTATATATCCTAGTATGTAATTGTAACAATGTGTGTCAAGAGCCTTTTGGACATTCGTATTATTTCGCTAATAACGCGCCTAATTTTCTCTTAGAACATCCTTTATCCTTGTAAAGACTGCAAATCAGATTAAAGCTGCTGAAATAGTGTCAGACATTTCTGGAAAACAGAAGATAGCCTTGGCTAAATTTTGTAATTGTTTGTTAAGAAGAACAATTCAAAAAGCTGAGGATGGAGTAAGGTATATTTTCACCATTATAGTAGGTTTATTTATTTAGTAATTTGTGTCCAAAATAAATTATTTTGAAAACCGATGTACTTTTCAGTAAAACAAGGGCTTTAAATTACATTTTGTCTACATATACTCGTATATAAGGTACTGTCGTTTTTGTTATTGTAAGACGTTATGTACGGGATTTCGGTGACAAATGTCAATTTACTGACGCAGACAACGATCTGGTTAGTTTAAATGTCTTTTTTTTCCTTCAGGAAAATATTGACATTCAAGTAAGCTGGGTTCATTATTTATAAATTGACTTGTTCATTATAAGCTTTATAGCATTTTTCAAGTGTTTAAAACTATTCAGATTGAAAGGATATGACCAAAAATAAAAGCCAACTGTTTAAATATTCTTTTATCAAATATCTATCACCCAAGAAAGTATAAAAGCTTATAAGACACTTGATACAAATGAAAAAAAAATGTTCATTATCGAAATTAAATTTTAAATAAAAGTTGTTTAAAACACTTTAAAGACTTCCTTTGATGGACATATTAAATTTTGCGGCTTCTTTTGAAATTGCACAATTATGTGTCCTTATTAATTCTAATGACGTATTAGTAAACAAAGTGCACTATGAATTTAATTTAAAATAACACGATTGAATTTTCAACTAATTCGTGTGACATGTCATTTTATTGGAATTGAACACCCACTAGACGTTTTATATGACATATTTCAGACAAAATTCTAGGTATTTAATTTTGAGACCGCCATAAAACCGCCAATTTTATTGCATTAGCCAAGAACAGAATCCACATCAGCAAGATTTTATATTGTTTTCCAGTTTGTTTGTGTTTTTTGTTTGTTGTTTTTTTTGTTTTGTTTTGTTTTTTTGTTGTTTTTTTCAATGGATAAGATTTCTTTCATTGTTAAAAAGACTGTTCAAAATAAATAGGAAAACATTACGTTTCGTCTGATGTTTCTGTAAATTTCATGTATCATATCATATATATATGTGTTCCCTATGTTATGTTTTTGATCTGGCTCAGGAAAAAATCAAGCTAAAAGGTATGTATCAAAGAATCTACACTTTCCTGCAGGTAGTTTGCACGCTGCGCAAAGATTTTACTTTTATAAGTTAGTGCATAATACGATTTACAGTTACCTTGAATAAAGATTGATAAAATGAAAAAAATGCATTACGCAGATGTACCTTAGATAATCAAAGTAAAAATGAAATGTTTTGCAAATTTTATATGTATTAATCGACAAAAACACTATCTTTGGCACTAATGACTGCAACGTATTGTGTATTTCTGCTGAACGCACGTGTGTTTCTGCAAAATAATCATCAGAACACACAGTAAATGCTTATCAGTGACAAGGTGTGCCAAATTAATGTCTTAAATGTGAAAACGTCATTCTTTAATATATCGAATTATAAATATAGGCACTGATCATCAGCTTTGAAATATATCTTCATTACCTGAAATAATTAGAACCAATGTGTTTTGTAAACATCGAAAAACAGCAATAACATTAGTTTGGATAAAGTCCTTGTTTTGATATGGAAATAATTAAACAATATGTTAAAGCTAATGTTTGGCAGTTTAATGATCGATATGCTTTCAGATTATCAAAATACATAAAAGCTCATATATTGGCTTAATTGATTCCGGCACTTTAAGTGTTGAAAATTGAGTACCACTCAAGCCTGTGCTAGGGGGTGTAAGGGATGTTGCACCTTTTGATTATCCCTCATTTACAGATTCATTAATCGAGTCTGCTGTTCTTTTGTTATTTTGTTGTTATAAATGCTTCCTTTGTATCACCCTTTTTCCTGTTTTTCAATAAGCTTTTACGTTGATTTGACAAAAACCTTATTGAAAAGATTCTAATGTGGACAAAAATCTGATTCTGCATACCTAAATAACTTGTTATAAAGATATATTATCAATTATTTTTCTGGTAATTGAATAATTGAATATGAAATTACTTCCTTTGATAAATAATTTGTTTGCAAAGTGGAATGTTATAAAACTTGCAGTACGTGAAATTAAAGTAATTATATTACATAATTGGTTTTCTCTTTTACTTTATGTTTTTGTGTATTACTATATGTATTTGATTGAATTAATATTTTTGTAACACTTGAAAAATATGTTATGTGCCTAGCCATTTGATTAGATAATATACGTATGTTAAAAATATTCTGAGCGACCTGTCAGTTTCAGGAATTATATTACTTTTTTTTAAAATTATGTGTTGCGTCTTGGCATGTGATTGGATAATGGGCCTTTATATAGATATGCGTTACGTGTTGCCTTTTGATTGGATGAGATCCTTTGTCTATCAGTTCCATGTCATTTGGTTTTCATAACATTTTATAGTCTCAATTGTAATATCTGTTTGCAATACAAGAACAGTTTCAGTTCTAAAAGAAATTAGCTAAATTAACATAACTAGTGTAACATGCTAATATAGGTTTGTGGCTCCGGTTTCCGAAGTAGGCAGTAAGTATATACAATAGAAAGCAACGCTGAAAAAAATCTTGCAACATTCACTTAACAAAAAATGCTGTTTCTACTTGCAGGAAAAGTTGTTGCTCAGTGTTCTTCCACAACATGTTGCCATGGAGATGAAGAATGACATTACATCCCCACACCAGGGAATGTTTCACAAGATATACATACAAAAACACGAAGACGTTAGGTAAGCTTTTGCATTTCGTTATATAATACCGCACCGCTCCAGGACGTTAATCTGTATTTAACGTCAAACTTTGCCTGTTGCTTATTATAGTTATGCATTGCAGTGTGCCGATTCCGGGGAAAAGATATAATATAAAGAATGTCATTTAAGGAAGCTTCCTCGTACCTTGACATTCCAAATACCATATACTTTTAACTTAATTTTGCAACAACTTGATGAAATTAAGCACTTACGGTCATCCTCCATCAGTAAAGCTGGAAAGTCACCATATACAAATGACGTAAAACCCAATCAAACAAAATAAATAGAATAAAATTAAGAACAAAACAAAATTATAATTATTTAATTTGTTTTTATATTTCATTTCACTCCTTTACAAATAATAACTGAAATGTTTTCGTTAAGTTTGGTAACATTTTCAGTGTTATTATTGTCTTATCTTTTCACAGTTATATCAATTTCAAACCTGAAGATAATTATAGTCTTCGGGATATATTAACAATTTTGGTATTATAGAACAACTGAATAAAAGAAAGATCAGTCAACTAAAACTTGCAAAGAAGCACATAATTCATTCTACATACATTGTAATTATATTTTTCAGCATCTTATTCGCAGACATTGTTGGCTTTACTAGTCTAGTCTTTCTTCCCATTGTTCAGCTGAAAACCTTGTCAAGATTCTCAATGAATTGTTTGGCCGATTTGATCATCTAGCAAAGGTAAGAGACAAGATTTATCATTTCTTCCTTTTGATGAAATGAGATTTTTTCCTAGACATTGTGCATGTTTACAATATATCCTATTGTCTTTGACTTTTCTATACAGAACATTATTTTTGTTTTGTTCATTTGAATGTTATAAACAATGTTGTCATATGGATAACATAATGAAACTTTATCTGTATTTAATATGCTTTCCTAGGAAACGAAGCATATTTTACCATATTTTGAAAATGATTCTATAAAAATAATTGTTATAATAAAATGTTACTTTTATGATTTTATTTAGAATCGTTCTATTAATCAGTCTTTTATAACTTTACTTCTTATAAATATGTTTTATCTTTTTTTACAGAACAATCATTGTTTAAGAATTAAGATTCTTGGTGACTGTTATTATTGTGTGAGTGGTCTGCCAGACAAACGAGATGATCATGCTAAATGCTGTGTGGAAATGGGCATGGATATGATAGAAGCCATTGAGTAAGTTTTGATTGATTGATTGATTGATTGATTGATCGATCGATTGATTGATTGATTGATTGATTGATTGATTGATTGATTGATTGATTGATTGATTGATTGATTGATAAATATTGTTATGTCAAAAATGTTTAATTGTTCCTGTCAGTCTTTGGTTATAGAATTGCAATGAACATTTTTTTTCAACTTTGCGTAACATTTTATCATATAATTCTTTGGTTATTTTATTCGTAATACAGTATTCCACTACAAAAAATAGCTATATGACTTACAGAGAATTGGTGTGACTAAGTGTAACCAATTTGTTTTACCTGTTTCAGTTTTGTATGTGAGTCTACCGGAGTAAATTTAAACATGCGCGTTGGAATACATACTGGTCGAGTATTGTGCGGTGTCCTTGGGCTAAAGAAATGGCAATATGACGTATGGAGTAATGACGTCACATTAGCGAACGCCATGGAATCTGGTGGTATACCTGGGTAAATGAATTTAGTTTAAATGTACAATTCATGAGCTTGAAAAGATGTAAATTAAACAATTGTTTTAATAATATTTAACTACGTTTTTACTACTTAAATATTAATTATCAGAATCAAAAGAAATATATTTAGATGTATGTCCATTCAAAAAACCCTGTCCTTTAGGTGAAAATAGATAATATTAGATCTACAACAGAATATCAAGTTGACAAAAAGATATACACTATTAGATAAACGGCAATAATGATAGCTATTTTGCCAAAGCAATATGAACCTTTCGAAAATAATAGAATCAAACAATAGCCCTGTCTTGTTAAAGACGTATTGTAGTCATCAAACTTTTAGACAAATAGGTCTTTATATCATTTAAATCAAAGCCTCATTGGTACTTATTAACTTGCATTGATAAATTTTAGTAGCTCATTTTGAATAAAACCAATTGTGTTACAATATGCTTACTCCAAAGCTATGTGTTGAATACAAGCAAGTCATTAATAAATAAGAAGCAAACCCTTTTTCGCTTGCAGACGTGTACATATTACCAAACAAACATTAGAGTGTTTGCACGGGGAGTATGAAGTTGAGAATGGGCATGGTGGGGAGAGGAATTCCTACCTACAAGAACACGGAATAGAAACATATCTTGTCAAATCACTTCACCCAGTTCCACCTAAGGTATGTTCATTAATTATATTTGTAAAATATTGGCAATATCTAGATACTTAACATCTGCTTTTCTAAACAAATGCTTATGTATGCTTGTTGATTTTGGGAATATTGAGACTATATTATTATTTGCTTGAACATGTAGTACATATGACCGAAGTCTTTTAAAAACACTACGTATTACTAAATCGAATCGTCATTTTCTTTGCAATTGTAAGCTAATGTTTTGAAAAATTAAGAATTTTGGTATTAAAATGACTTGGACAATCTTTGTTTGTCAAAGTTTGCCCTTACATAAGGTAAATAAGGCTGTTTAATTGGGTTCTATCATTGCTGTTTCTAAGTAATGTTTGCCAAAACATGACGAATTGATACATTTATTATAGCAGCTTTCTCACGGAATGTTTATATCTCTGTTTTATACTAATTTGAATTTATCTTTTATAAAAATTACTTTTCCATTTATCAAGCTCATTATCTTGCTTGTGACAAATGATTCTACCAATGCAACTAGTTTAGAGCCAACACAGTTTTAATCCATACCGTCTGATCGCGATCTTTAATGTTTGGTATTCAATTAGAATATATTTTGATTTTTTCCCTACAAGTTAGTAATGGTATTGTCCAGATTAAATGATGGTTACTTCCATATAAGGCATTCGGTTTTGAAAAGAGTTAAGCAAATAAAGTGTGGCCCACAACAAATGATAATGTATTTATCATGTCATTTTGTGTGTAAAACGTTCTTTACAAACTTGCTCAAAAGCAATTATTTAATTTTCTTTTCAAGATCGCATTTATTGTCTACATATTACAATAATTATTTCTTCTAATCTCAGATGCAACTTTAAGTAAATACTGAATAATATCGTTATATTAACATATTATAATAAATAACTTACTTTTTAAAATATTTCTTTATCACTTTTTTTCAGGAGACGCATCTTTCCGACAAAGGTCTAGGTGGTATAAGAGGAAAGAAATTGTCGTTTAGGAGTGTCACGAACTGTGTTATGAGGCTGATCCATTCTGTCAAATTTAATGCAGAAATTCCATTTTCCAACGTACTTAATCCCCAATCTGATGAGCCAAAGCACCATTCGAGCCATGGAGGTTCCAATAAATTCGTAAGCTTACAAAACCATAGTTTTTATATTTATATTTGATGTATATAAAGACAACAGTGTAACAACTGACAACGCTACAATATATTGACTTAGCATATAATAATTTTATTAAATTATCTAATTTAATAAAGAAACAAAATTGTAGTAATTGATACCATAACAAAAATGAAATATTACAAATTATAGCTTTTACAAACGATATGCAAAGACAGTATTTAAGCATTAGATATTATTACAATATTTTGAAGATTTAAAAAGGTTATTAAATGCTTGAAAGCAATGACTAACGGAAGTTTTTGAGGATAAACAGTTGGAGACTTTGATAATAATTATAAAATTGCGGGGTTTTTTTAACCGATATGCCATTACGTGGTCCTTGAATGATGGTTGTCTTCAGATATATCAATAACGTATCGCTTGAGTTGTTAATTTGAGTTATGACTAGGAATATATAATATATTGCTTCTTTGATAGAATGCTCTGTGTAGGTTATCAGCCATCTCATATAATTCTTTTTACAGACAAAATTTGGCTACTCAGTAACAGACAAACTACGGAAAGCGTTCAAAGAAAGGTAAGGTTTTTTTAAACTGATAAAGTTCGTTAAAGTTTTCAGTAATATATTTGTATCCGGTGAAATTATTATGAAATATACCAACACTTTGGCATAAGCCTTGAAACTTGTTTAACTCTTAATCCCCTGTTGCGGCCCGTAAGCGTTAAGAAGCCAAATGTCCTTTTACTATACAGAAAAGTATGTGTAACCACTTAAATGGTGTTTACAAAACATCAGTAATGCCAACTCGGTAACGAAAAACATTTTTGCAACTCATAAGTATTACATATATTTAGTATTTGAATTCTTAGTTCTGGTATATCAACAAACATAGAATAATATTATTTTATGAAACAAAAACTTAATTGAAATGTATGTGTTTGTTTCTGTAAAATAGATATTACATTTCCATCAATTTACGGAAAGAAAAATGAAGCAATGATTAATATTCAATGTATATCAAGTACATTCAACAACATTGAAAGTAGTAATTTGCGATCATTTACGAGTAAAGTTAATTGTTCTGTTGTTGAAGGTCTGTAATTCTATAAATAATTATGTTAATAGTATTTAGTAACAAACATGAATACAAACCCCAAATTAATTATATAAGATATAGTTCTTATATTTGAGATACACGTTCCGATATAACATATCAATTTTTGGCAGATTATTGAATTGTCCTGGAACAAAATATCATTTTCTATCATATAAATGTTCATATTAAATTAATACTATCAAGAAACATTTTATAAGAATATCCAAATATTACATTTCTGTCCTTTTTTATATCAAAACTGGAAATACTTCTGGAAAAGGGTTTCCATTCATGACCAATCCACTTTAAACTCGTAAATGAGTACAAAATGTGAATAATGTAAAAATGTGCCTCGCAAAAATATCTGACTCTACAGTTTGTGAAAATATTAATCACTTTATAGTAGTGATTTAAAAGTACTTTCACCGTAATTTAGAGCAGAACAGAGGATAAAGCAGAAAATCAAATTGATTATACATTTAATACATCAGTGTCTTTCGTTTCTTGGAACAATCATCCGAGATTTTATTTCAATTCTTGCCTGTTGTTTAATGGCTTGGGTTCGATTTTTATGCATTTTTGCCAATCGACGTAATGAAAATTCAATCATTCAATCATAAGATAGAAATAGCCGAAATTGATATAAAAATAAAAGCATGTAGGCGAAAAAAATGGAAAAAAATATTTTAAATTTAACCAGTGGTTTGCATGTGAAAGTGAATGGAAAAAGGCATAAAAGGGACAAAAACAGAACAGGGCACAAGGGCAAAGCACGAACGTGGTGCTATTTCAAATAATAGAGAATATGAAATACAATGTAATAGAAACCGACAAGGTGAATGTACAATGTACTAAGCAAGACAGTGGGACCATTTTTAAAAAGCAATAACTATAAATACAAGAAGTTATTTTCTCCTTTTGTGTCTATGTAACAGAATATGATAGTCTGTGTTTGGAGAATATGATATCCCTGAGACATGTGATTAATCATATTCTCACGTTATTAAATTGTCACAAACTAGACAACGGAAATGAAGTTTCCCTGTGTGTCACATTATTGCACAATGCCTTTTTATTGCTGATGATATAGATGATATAACCGTAGATTGTCAATTTTCTTTTATACTTTTCTTGAAGTCTTTCCAGAAATATTGCAAGCTTCAGGGGATAATAATTTTGATTTATATCAGAATTTCAGTGCGTTAATGACAAACGGAAAATTATGCGGGTCTATGTATATGATAGTTTCTGTATGGAATTTGTTGTTAAATACTAAGTAGGTGTTTAAATAGATTATTGTTACATATAAGAAAAGCAGACTGTAGTCGTGATGTTTTGACCAAGGGTTTGTTATTTGAAGGTGCTTATGTTTATGAAACTTTAAGAAACTTTCAAAGCGCGTACCTTTTGCTGAATTATATATCCTTATGCAAGTGGTATATAGCAAGTTTTGTATCATTATTGTTCTTAAATATTTGATCAGTTTAACATTAATTAACTTAGTTGAAGCAGTTCTAATTTGTTTAAGAGATTTTACACTCTTTTAAACAAATTGAATTCAACCGGACGCACGGTTTTCATAAACATCATTTTGTTATCGTGTTCAAAAAAAACGAAATTTGCTTTCCAGAATTGTTTTAGATTATATGGCTTGAAACAGCATCAAATTATGTCAGCATTTAAATAATTGTCTTGATTTGTCCTTACTTAATGAATTATTCCGCGTCATTAAAATTCGAAGCAGTCGACCGCATGTTATCGCAATAGTCGGATTATGCATTGAAAATGATGAAGCAGTGAGTTTTATGTTGCTTTGAAATCGTGTTTTAAAACAATATTTAGATATAATAAGAACTTCATCGTGCTTGTCTGTCTGTGTAAGAGAATTTGATATATCTAAGACATTTCATTAATCATTTATCTCTTGATAAAATTGTCACAAGCTAGACAACGGAAATGAAGTCATTGTTTGAGTCATATTATGGCGCACAGTGTCTTATATTGCCGGTGATATAACCGTAAATTGCTAGTGATATAACGGTAGATTGCCAATTGTCTTGTAGTAGCTCTTGGAGATTTTCCAGACATGATTTAGAGCAATAATTATCTAAGCAAAACATATTACTTTTATAATTTTATAAACAGATGGTTTTGAGTAAATTTATATTTTACTTGAAGAAATGTTTTGCTTATTTAATTAGTATGGTAGTTACTATTACAGACAGTAAAGTATTTAAAGATCCTGTATGCTGTAATTTAGGATGAAACCACTCTTACGTGAAATTTTATACATGTATATAATTATTCTTCTAAAACAATTTTCAAACCTAAATAATATGTAAAATATGTACTGCAAATGTTTATAAGTAATCATTAAAATATATGCATTCATTTCTTATTGAAAAATTTGGCTTTGGCTTTATCGAAAATAGATTTCTAATTACCTCCCTAATTACCTCCATTTATGTACAAGAAATGTAAGTTCGGTGATATCTTTACAAAAATGCTTTTTAAACTTACAATATTGATATGTCTTCATTTGAGCATTAGCTTTATGATATAAAACAAATTACAACAAAAAGAAATAAAGTATTTTATAACCCATTGGCTGTACTTGTTGTTGTTGTTTCAAATCATAAATACTCGTAAAACCAATCAAGCATGGATTCTAAATGGACCATTTTGTGTTATAAAAATAAAAATGATTTGCCCTGAAACAATTAAACCAACTGCACGCATTTCACACTTAAGATAATACAAGATTTCTTTATAAAAGCTTAACCAAAATATGAAAATCAAGATCAACAAGAAAGGGCAGCATTCAATGCACGCAACCCTCCACACGACCAAGCAACACAAAAATTCCTTGAAGGAACCCAGCCGGACACCAAATAAAATCAGAACAGGGCACAATGGCAAATCACGACGGGTGTTATTTCAAATAATACAGAATATGAAATACAATGTAATAGAAACAAGGTGCATGTACAATGTATTTAGCAAGACTATGAATGGCATCTTTGAGGATCAATTTTTAAAAAGCAATAACTATATATACAAGAAGTTATTTTCTCCTTACAGTGTCTGTGTTACAGAATATGATATCCCTGAGACATGTCATTAATCATTTTATCACGTGATTAAATTGTCACAAACTAGACAACGGAAAAGAAGTCTCCGTGCGTGTCACATTATTGCGCAATGTCTTTTTATTGCTGATGATATGGATGATATAACCGTAGATTGTCAATTTTCTTTTATACTTTTCTTGAAGTCTTTCCAGAAATGTTTCAGGCTTCAGGGGATAATAAATTTTATTTAGATCATAACTTCAATACGTTTATGACAAACGGAAAATTTTACGGGCCAATGTATATGATAGTTTCTGTATGGAATTTTCTGTTAAATACTGAGTAGGTGCATTAAGGGAATATTGCTCCATACGTTCGTAAAGTTAGGGAAAAAACAGACACATAAATTTGTAATTTTAAATACATGTATCATATTTATCTACTTATCCACTTTTGGCATCAACTAATAATAGAAGATGTTCTTAGATTGTATTCTAAAGCCTTGGAAATCAGTATGAGTGTATTTGTAATGACAATGTAATATTGGATATAAATAATTGCTTAGTTAAACATATTTACAAGAAATGATTAAAATGGTTTACATTTTTCATCACAAATGGCATGTACTAAAGTGAGCACCCCCGTTCATGACTTATTTATCTGAAACAAATCAACAATGACTGTTTACATGTATATGAATGCAACTGTAACGTTCTTTGATATTATAATATTTTTTAACATCCGGAAACATTAAGCCATCCTCAAACTATCTATTTTTCATGAAGAAATTATAGTACATGACGTAAAAATAACTTATGGACCTTTAATCATATAAATATTCTTTTGAGTTATCTTTAATGAGCCATATATTGTTTTTAAATGCCAGATTACATGCAGTCGAATTTAGGCATAAGTTAAGACAAATAGAAATGGCAAACTGATTTTGCTCTTAATACATCAGTGACAATTGTTTTTCGAAAAATTATCCCGTGTTTTCTTATTCATTTTTCTGCTTTCAATGGTTTAGAATTATTCTGATTGAATTTATATCATTTAGATCATTTCAATTACTTTAATTATCCAATTTTGAAATTGACGTTTAGAACGTGTTCAATATTTAAATGGTAATGCATCAAGGTACTTTCTTGTGGGTTGTACTGATTGTAAACAATAGCCCAGTTTGAGCCGGGTGATGCTCCCCGAATAGGTTTTGGACACAGGAAAGTACACCTCTTGTAGTTTCAGAGTTATGTCCCTTGAAAAAGTTCAAAGTGCAATAATTCCAAAATTAGGCAAGGCAGAGTTACTGTTCTTTGCACTGCACTTCTAATCAATGTGATCTATCAACCTACAAAGTTTCTTGATGATATCTCTTATGATTTCCGAGTTATGTCCCGGACAACTTCAAA